ATATATATATATGCATGAACGATGTTAAAACCCTTTCTATCCTATTGGGATCCCTTTTTAATGAGCTATTGTTGCAGCTAGGTCTAATGTCAGGTTGTGGAAAAGCCTCTTTGTTGTGCAGATGTCTTTGGAATAGCTCTGGAGGATGAAATATGACTATGTTGACCTTTTAGTTGTSTGCATATTTGTCAGGATTCACATAAGTTGAAAGGATCAAACTAAACAGTTTTCCCAGCCTGCCAGAGAATCGTGCTGCAGAGGTCAACAGAGGGGACCACAACGGCAGATTCCAGAGTACAGCCAGTTGTTGGTACATAGTGAAGTACTAGGCCATCTCCTGCAGACAAAGACAAAATTAAAATTCTAATTTATTAATGTATACAGAGAGCTTGGCCAAGCTGTCACTCAGCTATTGAAAAGAGTCCCCCCTCTTGCGCTTTTCCTCCTCTCCTCTCCCCTCGTCTGCACAGATCTTGTGTGGAGAGCTCAGACTTGCTTTAGTGTCTAACTAACACTGTAAATTGCCTGCTCTCTAATGTTCCAAGTTGTCTTTTGCTGTGTGAAACAGCCATAATGAAAAAGCCACAGGTTCAAACAAGTGTTTGTTGATCTCTGAATTACATATTCTGCTAATTAAATACGCCCTCAACCCCACACACGCACACACCTAATGTTCATACATAAACATTGTCTTCTTGTAAGCATGTATTAGGCTTCATTTGTTTTCAGTTTTTTTTTTCTGCTTATGTTTTTCTGGTGGAGAGATTTTGTTGTTTTCCTCTCAGAAATACATTTTGTGTCACACCAAAGAGTAACGGTCGGCGTTTCATCTCACTTCCTCCTGGAAGAAGAACAAAGCCTTGCTCTCAGAGGAGCACTGTTCCACACAGAACATCCTCTATCTCCATCATGCAGTCTGKATAATGATTCTCTGTTGAGCTGGACCGGGTCATCAAAAGACATGATCCAACAATTATGAGACTGTAGTAAGCCGACACCTCATAAAAGCACCTGATCTGCGGATGAGGCTCCATTCATCTCTGTGGTCTTCCTATTAGGCATGAGGAGATGTACGGAAAGACTTTTACTCATTTGGAGATGTGACTCACTTTTCAATTCATTCAAGTCAAAAATAATGAAGCACAGTATATGTGAAACATCTGGGGGAAAAAAATGACCCGCAAAAGAGTGCAAAAAGGAAAAAAAAATATGAGTCAAACAAACCTCCGAATCCTTGATCAGCATTAAATGGCTCTTTGGTTTTATAGCTCAAACGGGGTGCCCCCTCCCTAAGCCCCCGCACCCCTGCACCGCCCACCGCTGCCGCTGGATGAGCATGCCTGTGCTGTGTTCTCAGCAGCTTCGAGGCCTTCTAATCATACTGGAGATACAAACAGCTGCCGTGCAGGCTGGAAAGCAGCTAAACATACTTGACTGGTCAAAAAGCCACTAAATTACATTGACAGAATGACACATGTAATTAAAAGAATCCATGCCGCTTTTACCTTTTTGTGCTTTTCACACCTACAGTGGCACGACGACGAAAGCCAGCTACTCCCACCCCGATAATTACCATTATCAGTGAAATGGTAGGGTTTGACTCATTAGTTCCATGTGCATTTAATTAGAGGCAGGCTGAAATTGGATTTAACTTATTACTTTTTCATGGATCACTTTCTTGTCATCACTTCAAATTGGATTGCAGCCCCAGGTAACTAATTATGCCAGCCGCAGGATCAGGAGTGGAGAAATAGGTAATTAGGAAGAACTCTGTCGGACCCTCGCTGATAGTCCATCAGCAGCAGGAGTGGGGGCAGGGGAAGTTGCTGCTCGTTTGTGGCATTGCTCACCAGACTGGCTGGTTAACTACATCTCGTTGCAGGGGATCCTAGGTATGCATCTGCCTCCTACAGGGGATTACGTAGCTCTCAGTTGGGTAGATGTTCTGTCAACGTGGTGTCGTTGCTATCTGTGTAATATCCAGATTATGCTTGTTTCTCATTCGGGGTTGTGAGACACAGAGAGTTGTCCTTAGAACAGGTAAAATGAGAAATACTGAAGTTGCTGAAGTTTCCTGTGTGGACACCATCCGAACGGCGCTGAGGACGAATCCATGAAAGACATATTTACAAGTGGCAGGTGCACATAAAAGATGCTTTTAGGAGATGCAGCAATAGCACGAATGGTTTGCTTGTAAAGGTGATCTCTCACTGGGCTGCAACTGTTGAAGACTTGTTGGCAATTCAAAATTGCAAGAAAATATCAGTTGCAGTTTCACTGAAGTCTAAGTGTTTGTGACCAAGTGATCAGTGAGCTGTTCAGTATCATTTTGAACTGCCAGATGTTTTAAATCACTGCCTATTTTTGCGTGCACGAATTGCAGAACGGCAATCTGGGCAAGTTTTTAGGTAGGATTTTGGAGGTGGGCATCGGCACATCAAGACCCCCCCCTAGCCCCACCCCCACACTACTAAATTTCACCRTGAGTAAGAGATTGTGAAAACAACCCACAACAACAGCTACTGAAGCTACTGAAGCGATACCCACATCCTCATTTATCCACGTCGGTGCAATTAATTCTTTATGTCTTCCTCTGGCTTCATAAAATAATTGCAGTCACCTGCTCCGCCTCTTACGTCGTTTATGTAGAGGAAAAAAAAAAAACTCTTGGTGGACACAAAGGTCAGCAGGGCAAACTGGTYGTCGTTACGACACCTCGACACCCCTCTACCTAAACACCTGATTCTTTCACATTATTTAGTTGTATACCCTCCTCAGCTTGCCCACTTTGTCAACCATCCTCACATTTATCACTTAATTCACCAGACAACACTTCTGAAATGAAGATGGGCAGTTTTGGACCAGTTTTTAAATATTTATTAACAGTGTGGTTATGAGCCATGAACTTTTGCCTTGAGTGTTTTCTGTCAGAAGAGAGCTCCAGTGCAGGTGTCACAATACATCTCTAATGCTCTGAAGAGAGAAAGTCCTAATATAATTCAGGTTTGAGTTAAGAGACCCCTGTGGCAACAAGCCCCAGGAGGAATGTTATTGCACAAATCTTTTGTACATGTTTAAAACTTAAACAGCAAGACTACACATTTGAGTGATTCATGCAAGGAAACAAAATCACAATAAATGTTGCAAAACAWTCTTATACCACCTTAAAAAAGCTTTAATAAAAACATAAACTTTCCTATTATTCCTCTTAAATAAGGACATTGGCAACCTAGAAACCTGAGTTTTCCAAAACATTTTTTTATTTGTTTCTAAAGAAAACAATCTTGTGAACTCATCTTTTCTAAAAATATATKCATCTACACTGAAACATCAAAAAGTTACCAGAACTCTATAGTAGCTCTGCTGGTTTACTCTGGAACACATTTTTATATATAAAAAAATACATAAATAAAAAATTGGGGGCTCCTTAAACTGTTTTTTGTTTAGACACAAGGCTGCAAATGCACAAAAGAAAACTTTCACAAAACGTTGTTACCACTCAGACAGTCCAGAAATCAGTGGTTCGGGTTTCATTATGTACTGTTAAAATGGGTGGACCTAATAAGAATTGTATTCTCTGACAAATGTTCACAGTATTTAGGTGTTTTYAAAAGTATTTCTTGTGTCATTTTTCACATGCAGTAGTTACATTATAAACTATTCCGGTAGTCACTTTTTCCACAGAATACACAATTTATTCTTCCCCTTTGCTCTTCTCTTTCAGTTTCTCTTTTCTTTTGTCTCACTGTTGCAGTGTCCATCCTCACAGAGGGCATCCCCAGGTCAAAAGATAATGTCTTTTTAGTTTACAGGATGAAAGTCTTTTAAGTTGCAGAGCCTCCCTCCAAAGCCCACACCCCCTCCGCTGTTTGCTCTTCACATCCTTCATTTGTGGTCTGTTGGGGGGAAGCGTGATGTGACACAATCCAGGGGCYAAACCTCTGTCTGACAGGACAAGGAGAAGCCGTCAGCTCTCTCTCTTTCTCTCTCTYCTACTGTTTTTGCAGTAGGCCCATAGCATTGTCCCGACACATGTACAGTATACCACAGAGTTCCAATCTGTAAGTCATTAGAGCACTAAAGCCTGTCATCTGGAGCTCAGCCAGGGCTGCAGGCTGATCTGAGGCAGCATTTTGAGAGGTCTCCACAGCCCAGTCCACCAGTGGTGAGGTGAGACCAGGCCAAAATCATTTTCTGAGTTGTTACCATAAAATAATGATTAATATCATAAAGAACTGACCAAATCTGATTTGGATTAGGGCTGAAACGATTAGTCGACATAATCAATAATGTCGATTATAAAAATAAGTTGACGCGACATTTTAATGTCGATGCATCRTATTATTTACCCACGTAAATGCTCATTTGTAATGAAGGAGAACGTGGAGTAGACTGGCACGCTACAAAACCGTGGGCAAATCAAA